GGGGCAGAAAGGGGATGGGGGGGCAGAAAGGGGATGGGGGGCAGAAAGGGGATGTGGGGGAAGCGGGTGGGGGGGCAGAAAGGGGATGGGGGGGTCACAAAGGGGATGGGGGGGCACAAAGGGGATGGGGGGGCATTAAGGGCATGGGGGGGCAGAAAGGGCATGGGGGGGCAGAAAGGGGATAGTGGGGCAGAAAGGGGATGGGGGGCATTAAGGGGATGGGGGGGCAGAAAGGGGATGGGGGGGCATTAAGGAGATGGGGGGGCAGAAAGAGGATGGGGGGGCAGAAAGGGGATGGGGAGGCAGAAAGGGGATGGGGGGCACAAAGGGGATGGGGGGGCAGAAAGGGGATGGGGGGCATTAAGGGCATGGGGGGGCAGAAAGGGGATGGGGGACAGTAAGAGGATGGGGGGGGCAATAAGGGGATGGGGGGGCATTAAGGAGATGGGGGGGCAGAAAGAGGATGGGGGGGCAGAAAGGGGATGGGGGGCCAGAAAGGGGATGGGGGGCCAGAAAGGGGATGGGGGGGCATTAAGGGGATGGGGGGGCAGAAAGGGGATGGGGGGGCATTAAGGAGATGGGGGGCAGAAAGGGGATGGGGGGGGCAGAAAGGGGATGGGGGGGCAGAAAGGGGATGGGGGGGCAGAAAGGGGATGGGGGGGCAGAAAGGGGATGGGGGGCAGAAAGGGGATGGGGGGGCATTAAGGGGATGGGGGGGGCATTAAGGGGATGGGGGGGTCCCCAACACCCCCTTTGTGGGGGGGGGGGGTCCTCACTTCTGGCAGGGGTGATCCTCAGTGCGGGGCAATGTGGGGTCCTGCGACACGTCCGCGATGATCTGGGTGAGCTCACTGCAAGGGGGGGGGGGGGGAATTACCTCATCAATGACTTAATTAACTAATTAGCATATTAATTAGCACCTCATTCAGTCCCTCTCATTTGCTTATTGTCCCTGCCTCAATCCCCCTCCTCCATCGCCCCAATTACCCCTTTCCTAATGCCCCTCATTAAGAACCCATTCATCCCATTAACCCCCAACAACTCACCCCTATTAATTACCCCCATTAATTACCCCCCCCCCTCGCCCATCACTTCATCATTAAGGAGCCCCAATTAAGGAGCTCCTTAATGAACTTACTCCACTTCATGGGTGATCTTGTTCACGTAGATGCAGCTGTTATCAGCCTCTTGCTGGTAGTCACAGTTGCGGCACTGGGGGGCAAAGAGATGGGGGGCACAAACCCTATAAGGTTCTATAGGGGGGGGGTTATCCCATTATGACACCGGGACTGGTCCCTATAACCCCCCCCCTCATTGCTATATGGATTTAGGGGGGCTGCTGCATCCCATTGGGGTCAGTATGGGGGGGCACTTACAGCATAGAGCAGGATCCGGTTCTCCTTGTCCTCCTTGGGGTACAGCATGTTGTTGCTTGGGGGGGGAAAAGGGGGGTTATGTGGGGGGGGTATAGGATATATGGGGGCAAAAGGGGGCGTAGAAGGTATACAGGGGTGTATATGGGATATATGGGGGCAAAAGGGGGTATAGAAGGTATATAGGGGTGTATATGCGGGTATATAGGCATCTATGGGGGCAAAAGGGGGTATAGAAGGTATATGGGGTGTATATGGGGTATATAGGCGTATATGGGGGCAAAAGGGGGTTTAGAAGGTATATAGGGGTGTATATGGGGTATATAGGTGTATATGGGGCAAAAGGGGGTATAGAAGGTATATGGGGTGTATATGGGATATATAGGCATATATGAGGGCAAAAGGGGGTATAGAAGGTATATAGGGGTGTATATGGGGGTATATAGGCATGTATATATAGGCATGTATGGGGGAATATATAGGTGTATATGGGGCATATACGGGGGCACAAGGGGGTATAGAAGGTATATAGGGGTGTATATGGGGTATATAGTATATCTAGGGTGTATATAGGGTGTATATGAGGGGTATACAGGCATATATGGGGGCATAAGGGGGTACAGGAGATATATAGGGGGTATGTAATGATATATAGAAGGCATATGGGAGGATATTGGGGGTATAGCGGGGTATATAGGCATATATGGGGGTACATTGTGGGCATACAGGCATATAGGGGTGTACATAGGGGCTATATAGCAGTACAAGAGACATATATGGGGGTATATATGGGGTACATAGGGCTATGCACGGGTATATGGGAGCATATATGAAACACATGGGGTATATAGGAAGCATATACAGGTAAATGGAGGTATAGGAGAGATATATAGGGTATATATGGCACGTATAGGGGTACATAAGGGAGGTGTGGTGGTGTATGGACTGTGTACAGAGAGTATATAGGGTATATAAGGTGAAAGAGGGGTTTATAGGGGTACATAGCGGGTATAGAACGAAGAGGTAAGGGACACACAATGTGTATGTAAGGGGTCTATAGAGCACATGTAGGGTACAAATAGGGTACATCCAGGGTACATATAGAGCAGATATAGGGTACATATAGAGCACACATACAGCACATATAGAGTAGGTATAGATTACATATACAGCACATACAAGGTACAGATAGGGAACATATAGAGCACATATTAGGCACATATATGATACATATATGGCACATATAGAGTACATATAGGGCGCATCTACAGCAGATATAAAGCACATATAGGGCAGATATAGGGTACATATAGGGCACGTATAGGATACGTATACGGCACATATAGGGCAGATACAGGACACATATAGAGCACATATAGAGCAGATATAGGACACATACAGGGCAGATATAGGGCACATATAGAGCACATATAGAGCAGATATAGGGCACGTATAGAGCACACATAGAGCACATAGCGCAGATATAGGGCACATATAGGGCACACATAGGGCACATATAGGGCACGTACAGCGCACATATAGGGCACACATAGAGCACATATAGGACACGCATAGGGCACACATAGACCACACACAGAGCACACATAGAGCACATACAGGGCACACATAGGGCACACACAGGGCAGATATAGGGCACATATAAGGCACGCAAAGGGCACGCATAGGGCACACATAGGGCACATATGCGGCACGCATAGGGCACGCATAGGGTACACATAGGGCACATATAGGGCATGCATAGAGCACGCATAGGGCACATACAGAGCACACACAGGGCACACGTAGGGCACGCATAGGGCACGTGTAGGGCACGCGTAGGGCACACATAGGGCACATATATAGCACACATAGGGCACATATGGGGCACACATAGGGCATATATGGGGCACACATAGGGCACATATAGGGCACACATAGGGCACACATAGAGCACATATAGGGCACGCATAGGGCACGCATAGGGCACATATAGGGCACACATAGGGCACACATAGGGCACGCATAGGGCACACATAGGGCACACATAGAGCACGCATAGGGCACACAGAGGGCACATATAGGGCACATATAGGGCACACATAGGGCACACATAGGGCACACACAGGGCACATACAGGGCACATATAGGGCACACATAGGGCACACATAGGGCACACATAGGGCACACATAGGGCACACATAGGGCACACATAGGGCACATATAGGGCACGCATAGGGCACATATAGGGCACATATAGGGCACGCATAGGGCACGCATAGGGCACGCATAGGGCACACATAGGGCACACATAGGGCACACATAGGGCACACATAGGGCACACATAGGGCACATATAGGGCACGCATAGGGCACGCATAGGGCACATATAGGGCACACATAGGGCACGCATAGGGCACACATAGGGCACACATAGGGCACATATAGGGCACACATAGGGCACATATAGGGCACACATAGAGCACATATAGGGCACATATAGGGCACACATAGGGCACACATAGGGCACACATAGGGCACACATAGGGCACACATAGGGCACACATAGGGCACATATAGGGCACACATAGGGCACATATAGGGCACACATAGGGCACACATAGGGCACGCATAGGGCACATACAGGGCACACATAGGGCACACATAGGGCACACATAGGGCACATATAGGGCACGCATAGGGCACATATAGGGCACACATAGGGCACACATAGGGCACGCATAGGGCACACATAGGGCACATATAGGGCACACATAGGGCACATATAGGGCACATATAGGGCACGCATAGGGCACATATAGGGCACACATAGGGCACATATAGGGCATGCATAGGGCACACATAGGGCACACATAGGGCACATACAGGGCACACATAGGGCACGTACAGAGCACATATAGGGCACATATAGGGCACACATAGGGCACACAGGGCACACATAGAGCACACATAGGGCACACATAGGGCACACATAGGGCACACATAGGGCACACATAGGGCACATATAGGGCACATATAGGACACGCATAGGGCACACATAGGGCACATATAGGGCACACATAGAGCACGTACAGAGCACACATAGGGCACATATAGGGCACACATAGGGCACATATAGGGCACACATAGGGCACATATAGGGCACACATAGGGCACACATAGAGCACATATAGGGCACACATAGGGCACACATAGGGCACACATAGGGCACATATAGGGCACACATAGAGCACATATAGGGCACGCATAGAGCACACATAGGGCACGCATAGGGCACATATAGGGCACATATAGGGCACACATAGGGCACATATAGGGCACGCATGGGTTCTATGGGGCTCCCCTCACCACTCCTGACAGAACCGGATCCCCACGAAGCCCGGCTCGTAGGCCCCATCCGTCTCCATGGCTGCCCCGCGCATGCGCACAGCCCCGCCCCTTCCCCCTCTCCCTATTGGCTCTTCCCCACCTGGTGGGCGGTGCCTCTCTCTCTGTCTCTCCCCCCATTGGCTACCCGCGGCGCACAGCCAGCTCCCATTGGCTGTTCGGCCCAAAGGCGGGCCGAAGCTTCCAGAAGGCGCTGTGGGGAAGGAGGCGCCATGATGGCGGCGGCGGCGGTGGGGCCTGGGGCCGGCTCCGTGCTGCTCTCGGTCAGCAGCAGCCTCAGCGCCCGCCGGGCCCCGAAGCGGTACAGCACCGGCATCACGGTGGCCGAGCTCAAGGTACCGGCGCCGCCCCACACACCCATGGGTCCTATGGGGCACCCTACAAGACCTACGGTCGCGATGGGGCCCCCACGGTCCCTATGGGGCCCCTCACTGTCCCTATTGGGTACCCCAGACCCACTGTCGCGATGGGGCACCTCACAGACCCACGGTCCCGATGGGGCACCCCAGCCCCACGGTCCCAATGGGGCTCCCACTGTCCGTATGGGGCACCCCAGACCCACGGTCCCTATGGGGCACCCCACAAGACCCACGGTCGCGATGGGGCCCCCACGGTCCCTATGGGGCCCCTCACTGTCCCTATTGGGCAACCCAGACCCACTGTCGCGATGGGGCACCTCACAGACCCACGGTTTCTATGGGGCTCCCACTGTCCCTATGGGGCACCCCAGACCCACGGTCGCGATGGAGGCCCCAGCCGCACGGTCCCTATGGGGTACCCCACAGCCACTCTGTTCCTGTGGAGGCCCCAGCCCCACGGTCCCGATAGGGCACCCCACAGACCCACTGTTCCTGTGGAGGCCCCAGCCCCACTGTCCCTATGGGGCACCCCAGACCCACGGTCCCGATGGGGCACCCCACAGACCCACTGTTCCTGTGGAGGCCCCAGCCCCATGGTCCCTATGGGGCACCCCAGCCCCACGGTCTCTATAGGGCACCCCAGCCCCACGGTCCCGATGGGGCACCCCACAGACCCACTGTTCCTGTGGAGGCCCCAGCCCCACTGTCCCTATGGGGCACCCCAGACCCACTGTCTCTATGGGGCACCCCAGACCCACTGTCGCGATGGAGGCCCCACTGTCGCGATGAAGGCCCCAGCCCCACGGTCCCTATGGGGCCCCCACAGTCCCTATGGGGCACCCCAGACCCACTGTCCCTATGCTGCCCCCCAACTCCACTGACCCTATGGAGGCCCCAACCCCACTGTCCCTATGGGGCACCCTAGCCCCACTGTTCCTGTGGAGGCCCCATACCCACGGTCCCTATGGGGCCCCCCCCCAACCCCACTGTCCCAATATGGAGCCCCAACCCCCCCCAGCCCCACTGTCCCTATGGAAGGCCCAACCCCACTGTCCCTATGGAGCCCCCACTATCCCTATGGACCCCCCAACCCCACTGTCCCTATGGAGCCCCCACTGTCCCTATGGACCCCCCAACCCCACTGTCCCTATGGAGCCCCCCCAACCCCACTGTCCCTATGGAGCTCCCCCAACCCCCCTGTCCCTATGGACCCCCCCCCCCCAACCCCCCTGTCCCTATGGATCCCCCCCCAACCCCACTGTCCCTATGGAGCCCCCAACCCCACTGTCCCTATGGAGCTCCTCCCAACACCACTGTCCCTATGGACCCCCCCATCCCTGCCGAGCGGAACCAGCCCCCTTTCCCCCCCTCTCCCCTTCGTGGCCCTCACCGTGGCCTCCCTTGCAGTGCAAGCTGGAGCTGGTGGTGGGCAGCCCGGCCTCCTGCATGGAGCTCGAGCTCTACAGCGCTGAGGACGAGCCCCTGGCCCGCCTCGACTGCGATGAGGCTCTGCTGGGCTCCTACCCGCTGGGGGACGGATGCAGGCTGCACGTGGGTACCCAAAACACCCCCAAAACCCCTGGTTTCAAGCCAAAAACGGCCCTGAAACACCCCAAAACCCCTGTTTTCAACCCAGAAATGGCCTTGGAACACCCAAAATCCATCTTTTCAACCCCAAAATGGCCCTGAAACACCCCAAACCCCCTGTTTTCAACCCAGAAATGGCCTTGAAACACCCCCAAAACCCCTGTTTTCAACCCAGAAATGGCCTTGAAACACCCCCAAACCCCGTTTTCAAGCCAAAAATGGCCCTGAAACACCCCCAAAACCCCTGTTTTCAACCCAGAAATGGCCTTGGAACACCCCCAAACCCCTGTTTTCAACCCAAAAATGGCCTTGGAACACCCCAAAACCCTTTTTATCGACCCCAGAATGGCCTTGGAACACCCAAACCCCTTTTTGTCCACCCAAAAATGGCCTTGGAACACCCCAAAACCCTTTTTATCGACCCAAAAATGGCCTTGGAACACCCAAAACCCTTTTTATCAACCCAAAAATGGCCTTGGAACACCCAAAATCCATTTTTTCACCCTGAAAATGCCTTTGGAACCCCCCAAATCCATCTTTTCGCCCTGAAAATGGCCCTGGAACACCCCAAACCCCTTTTTTCAACCCAAAAATGGCCTTGGAACACCCCAAACCCCCTTTTTTCAACCCAAAAAAGGCCTTGGAACACCCAAAATCCATCTTTTCGCTCTGAAAATGGCCTGGACCACCCCAAACCCCTTGTTTTCCCCCCAGAAATAGCCTTGGAACCCCCAAATCCATTTTTTCACCCTAAAACTGGCCTTAAACCCTCCCAAAAACCCCTTTTCACACCCAAATCCCCCTTTTCCACCCCCAAAAACAGCATTGGACCCCCAAAATCCATCTTTTCACCCTGAAAATGGCCTGGAACCCCCCCCAAACCCCTTTTTTCACCCCCAAAATGGCATTGGACCCCCCAAAATCCATCTTTTCCCCTTGAAAACGGCCTTGAAACCCCCCAAACCCCTTTCTTCACCCCCAAAATAGCATTGGACCCCCAAAAATCCATCTTTTCACCCTGAAAATGGCCTGGAAACCCCCCCAAACCCCTTTTTTCACCCCCAAAATGGCATTGGACCCCCAAAAATCCATCTTTTCACCCTGAAAATGGCCTTGAAACCCCCCCAAACCCCTTTCTTCACCCCCAAAATGGCTTTGGACCCCCAAAATCCATCTTTTCACCTTGAAAATGGCCTTGAAACCCCCCCAAACCCCTTTTTTCACCCCCAAAATGGCATTGGACCCCCAAAAATCCATCTTTTCACCCTGAAAATGGCCTGGAAACCCCCCAAAACCCCTTTCTTCACCCCCAAAATGGCATTGGACCCCCAAAAATCCATCTTTTCACCCTGAAAATGGCCTTGAAACCCCCCCAAACCCCTTTTTTCACCCCCAAAATGGCATTGGACCCCCCAAAATCCATCTTTTCACCTTGAAAACACCCTTGAAACCCCCCAAATCCCCTCTTTTCCCCTGAAAAATGGCCTTGAAGCCCCCCCAAATCCCCCCTTTTCACCCCAGAGACACCCTAAGCCCCCCTTTTCACCCCCAAAATGCCCTTGAAATCCCCAAAACACCTCTTTCTCACCCTAAAAATGGTCTCGAAACCCCCAAGTCCCCCTTCCTCTGCCCAAACCCAGCCTCAAATCCCCTTTTCTCACCCCAAATCCCCCCTTCACAACCCCAAACTGGCCTTGAAACCCCCCGAATCCCCTCTTCTCCCCCCAAAGAGGCTTTGAAACCCCCAAATCCCCCCTTTTTCACCCCAAAACGGGGTGTCCCCCCCAGGTGATCGACCGCAGCGGCGCCCGCATTGGGGAGTACGAGGACGTGTCCCAGGTGGAGAAGTACGAGATGGCAGAGAGCGACTACGACAAGAGGCCAGGTGGGGTGGTGGGGCCAGCCCCATAGGGCTGACACCCCATGGTGGCCCTATGGGGTCCTCTATGGTGGCCCTGTGGTGTCCCCACTGTGTGACACCCCATGGTGGCCCTATGGGGTTCTCTGTGGTGGCCCTATGAGGTCCCCACTGTGCTGACACCCCATGGTGGCCCTATGGGGTCCTCTGTGGTGGTCCTGTGGTGTCCCCACTGTGCTGACACCCCATGGTGGCCCTATGGGGTCCCCACTGTGCTGACACCCCATGGTGGCCCTATGGGGTTCTCTATGGTGGCCCTGTGGTGTCCCCACTGTGCTGACACCCCATGGTGGCCCTATGGGGTTCTCTATGGTGGCCCTGTGGTGTCCCCACTGTGCTGACACCCCATGGTGGCCCTATGGGGTCCTCTGTGGTGGCCCTGTGGTGTCCCCACTGTGCTGACACCCCATGGTGGCCCTATGGGGTCCCCACTGTGCTGACACCCCATGGTGGCCCTATGGGGTCCCCACTGTGCTGACACCCCATGGTGGCCCTATGGGGTCCTCTATGGTGGCCCTGTGGTGTCCCCACTGTGCTGACACCCCATGGTGGCCCTATGGGGTCCCCACTGTGCTGACACCCCATGGTGGCCCTATGGGGTCCCCACTGTGCTGACACCCCATGGTGGCCCTATGGGGTCCTCTGTGGTGGCCCTGTGGTGTCCCCACTGTGCTGACACCCCATGGTGTCTCTAGGGTGACCCTGTGGTGTCCCCACAGGGCTGACACCCCATGGTGGCCCTATGGGGTCCGGTCCTCTATGGTGTCCCTGTGGTGTCCCCACTGTGTGACACCCCATGGTGTCCCCTAGGGTGTCCCTGTGGTGTCCCCACTGTGTGACACCCCATGGTGGCCCTATGGGGTCCCCCATGGTGTCCCTATGGTGTCCCCTATGTGTCCCTTCCGTGCCCCCACTGTGCTGCCACCCTATGGTGTCTCCTAGGGTGTCCCTTGGGGTGTCCCCACTGTGCTGCCAACCCTATGGGGTCCCCCATGGTGTCCCTATGGGGTCCCTCCTGTGCTGCCACCCCATGGTGTCCCTGTGTTGTCGTTATGGGGTCCCCTAAGATGTCCCTATGGGGTCCTCACTGCACTGCCACCCTATGGGGTCCCCTAGGGTGTCCCTATGGGGTCCCCCGTGGTGTCCCTATGGTGTCCCCATGTTGTCCTTATGGTGTCCCCTAAGATGTCCCTATGGTGTCCCCCATGGTGTCCCTATGGTGTCCCCACTGTGCTGCCACCCTATGGGATCCCCCCTGGTGTCCCTATGGGGTCCCCACTGTGCTGCCACCCTATGGGATCCCCCCTGGTGTCCCTATGGGGTCCCCCCTGGTGTCCCTATGGGGTCCCCACTGTGCTGCCATCCCTATGGTGTCCCCAATGCTCACTGTCCCCCCTTTATCACTGTCCCTATGGTGCCACCACCACCTTCCCAGGGACCAAGTGACACTGTGGGGCCAGCCCCACTGTGTTGCCACCCCCATGGTGTCCCCTAAGTGTCTCCTAAGGTGTCCCCAAGGTGTCTCCTATGGTGTCCCCAAGACCCCTGTCCCCCCCTTCCCAGCATCCCCATCGTGGCCCTGCTGTCCCTGTGGAGCCCCCCAACCCCACTGTCCCTATGGAGCCCCCCAACCCCACTGTCCCTATGGAGCCTCCCCCAACCCCACTGTCCCTATGGAGCTCCCAGCCCCACTGTCCCTATGGAGCCCCCCCCAACCCCACTGTCCCTATGGAGCCCCCCCCCCCAACCCCACTGTCCCTATGGAGCCCCCCAACCCCACTGTCCCTATGGAGCCCCCCAACCCCACTGTCCCTATGGAGCTCCCAGCCCCACTGTCCCTAGCACTGTCCCTATGGAGCCCCCCAACCCCACTGTCCCTATGGAGCCCCCCCCAACCCCACTGTCCCTTTGGAGCTCCACTGTCCCTATGCAGCCCCCCCCAACCCCCCTGTCCTTATGGAGCCCCCCCCAACCCCACTGTCCCTATGGAGCCCCCCCCCCTTGTCCCTATGGAACCCCCCCAACCCCATTGCCCCTATGGAGCCCCCCAACCCCACTGTCCCTATGGAGCTCCCCCAGCCCCACTGCCCCTATGCAGCCCCCCCCAACCCCACTGTCCCTATGGAGCCCCCCAGCCCCACTGTCCCTATGGAACTCCCAACCCCACTGTCCCTATGGAGCCTCCCCCAACCCCACTGTCCCTATGGATCCCCCCCCAACCCCACTGTCCCTATGGATCCCCCCCAACCCCACGTTCCCAACCCCACTGTCCCTATGGAGCCCCCCAACCCCACTGTCCCTATGGAGCCCCCCAGCCCCACTGTCCCTATGGAACTCCCAGCCCCACTGTCCCTATGGCCCCCCCCAAACCCCCCTGTCCCTATGGACCCCCCCCAACCCCACTGTCCCTATGGAGCCCCCCCAACCCCACTGTCCCTATGGAGCCCCCCCTGTCCCTATGGACCCCCCCCAACCCCACTGTCCCTATGCTGCACCCCAACCCCACTGTCTCTATGGAACCCCCCAACCCCAGTCCTTATGGAGCCCTCCAACCCCACTGTCCCTATGGAGCCCCCCCTTTCCCTATGGAGCCCCCCCCAACCCCCCTGTCCCTTTGCCCCCCCCAGAGTCCCTCCGCAGCTTCCTCCGGCAGCGCCAATGGGGCCGTTACGACGCGGAGGCCGCGCGGCGCCGGGCGCAGGAGCAGCGGCAGCGCCGGGAGCAGGATGAGGCCGTGGCGCTGGCGCTGCCGCTGGGCTCCCGCTGCCTGGTGCGGGTGCCGGGACAGCCCTGCCGCCGCGGCACCATCATGTACGTGGGTAGGTGCCGGCCCCAGAGCCCCCCCGCGCGGACCCGAAACCGCCCCAAAGTCACCCAAAACGGCCCCAAAGTCACCCAAAACGGCCCCAAAGTCACCCGAAACGGCCCCAAAGTCACCCGAAACAGACCCAAATTCACCCGAAACGGCCCCAAAGTCACCCAAAACGGCCCCAAAGTCACCCGAAACGGCCCCAAAGTCACCCGAAACGGACCCAAATTGACCAAAACAGCTCCAAATTCACCCGAAACGGCCCCAAAATCACCTGAAACGGCCCCAAATTCACCTGAAACGGACCCAAATTGACCAAAACGGCCCCAAATTCACCCGAAACGGCCCCAAAGTCACCCGAAACGGCCCCAAATTCACCCAAAACACACCCAGATTGACCCAAAACACACCCAATTTCACCCAAAACAGCCCCAAATTCACCCGAAACGGCCCCAAATTCAACTGAAACAGCCCCAAATTCACCCGAAACGGACCCAAATTGACCAAAACGGCCCCAAAGTCACCCAAAACGGCCTCAAATTCACCTGAAACGGACCCAAATTGACCAAAACGGCCCCAAATTCACCCAAAAAGGCCTCAAATTCACCCGAAACGGCCCCAAATTGACCAAAACGGCCCCAAAGTCACCGGAAACGGCCCCAAATTCACCCAAAACACACCCAGATTGACCCAAAACACACCCAATTTCACCCGAAACGGACCCAAATTGACCAAAACGGCCCCAAAGTCACCCGAAACGGCCCCAAATTCACCTGAAACGGACCCAAATTGACCAAAACAGCCCCAAATTCACCTGAAACGGCCCCAGATTCACCCAAAACAGCCCAAATTCACCCGAAACGGCCCCAAATTCACCTGAAACGGACCCAAATTGACCAAAACAGCCCCAAATTCACCCAAAACACACCCGATTTGACGAAAAAAAAACAAATTGACCCAAATTCACCTGAAACAGCCCCAAATTCACACAAAATGGCCCCAAATTCACCCGGAACGGCCCCAAATTCACCTGGAACGGACCCAAATTGACCAAAACAGCCCCAAATTCACGCGAAACGGCCCCAAATTCACCTGAAACGGACCCAAATTGACGAAAACGGCCCCAAATTCACCCGAAACGGCCTCAAATTCACCCAAAACGGCCCCAAATTCACCTGAAACGGCCCCAAATTCACCCAAAACACACCCGATTTGACCAAAAAAACCAAATTGACCCAAAACATCCCCAAATTCACCCGAAACAGCCCCAAATTCACCCAAAACAGCCCCAAATTCACCCGAAACACCCCCAAATTGACCAAAACAGCCCCAATTTCACCCAAAGCAGCCCCAAATTCACCCAAAACAGCCCCAAATTCACCTAAAACATCCCAAATTCACCCAAAACACACCCAGATTGACCCAAAACACACGCAATTTCACCCAAAACATTCCGAAATTCACCCGAAACGGCCCCAAATTCACCCGAAACAGCCCCAAAATCACCCGAAACAGCCCCAAATTCACCCAAAACAATCCTGGTTTGACCCAAAACACCCCCAATTTCACCCAAAACACCCCCAATTTCATGCAAAATACCCCCAATTTCACCCAAAACACACCTGGTTTGACCCAAAAAACACCCAATTTCACCGAAAACATGCCCAATTACACCCAAACCAGCCCCAGATTGACCAAAACACCCCCAATTTCACCCAAAACATCCCCAATTTCACCCAAAACATCCCCAAATTGACGCAAAGCCTCACCAGATTGACCCAAAACAGCCCCAAATTCTCCCAAAGCAGCCCCAAATTCACCAAAAACAGCCCCAAATTCACCCGAAACGGCCCCAAATTCACCCGAAACGGCCCCAAATTCACCCGAAACACACTCACATTGACCCAAAACACTCCCAGTTTCACACAAAACAGCCCAAATTCACCCCAAACAGCCCCAGATTGACCCAAGACACCCCAAAATTGACCCAAAACACCCCCAATTTCACCCAAAACAGCCCCAGATTGACCCAAAACACCCCAAAATTGACCCAAAACACTCCCAATTTCACCCAAAACACCCTCAAGGGGCCCAAAACACCCCCAGTTTGACCCCAACCCCCCCCCAAATTGACCCAAAACACCCCCAAAGTGACCACAAACCCACCAAGATGTCCCAAATCCCCCTCAAACCCCCCAAAATGACCCCAACCCCCCCAAAGTGACCCCAACCCCCCAAATTGACCCCAAACGCCCCAAATGACCCCAACCCCCCCAAGTGACCCCAACCCCCCCAAAGTGACCCCAACGCCCCAAAATGACCCCAACCCCCCCAAAATGACCCCAACCCCCCAAATTGACCCCAACCCCCCCAAGTGACCCCACCCCCCCAAAATGACCCCAAACCCCCCAAAGGACCCCAACCCCCCCAAGTGACCCCAACCCCCCCAAAATGACCCCAACCCCCCATGTTCTCCCCCCCCTCCCCCCAGGCCAGACCGACTTCAAGCCTGGCCACTGGGTGGGGGTGCGCTATGACGAGCCGCTGGGCAAGCACGACGGCAGGTACCGACCCCCCCATTGCCCCCCGACCTCCTGCTGTCCCCTCCCCCCAACCTCCTGGTGTCCCCTCCCCCCCCCAACCTCCTTGTGTCCCCTCCCCCCTCTCCTTGAGCCCCCCCAACCTCCTTGTGTCCCCTCCCCCCAACCTGCTTGTGTCCCCTCCCCCTCAACCTCCTTGTGTCCCCTCCCCCCCTCTTTGAGACCCCCCCAACCTCCTTGTGTCCCCTCCCTCCCCAACCTCCTTTGTGTCCCCTCCTTTGTGTCCCCTCCCCCCCCAACCTCCTTGTGTCCCCTCCCCCCCCCCTTGTGTCCCCTCCCAACCTCCTCTGTTGAGACCCCCCCACTTCCTTGTGTCCCCCTCCCCCCCTTGTGTCCCCTCCCCCCCAACCTCTTTCTGCCCCTCCCCCCACCTCCTCGTGTCCCCTCCCCCCCTTGTCCCCCCACCAACCTCCTTGTGTCCCCTCCCCCCAACTTCCTTATTTCCCCTCCCCCGCACCTCCTTGTGTCCCCCCCTTATGTCCCCTCCCCCCAACCTCCTTCTGCCCCTCCCCCCCTTGTATCCCCTCCCCCCTCACCTCCTTGTGTTCCCTCCCCCCCACCCCCCTTGTGTCCCCCCCCAACCTCCTTGTCCCCCCCCACTTCGTGTCCCCTCCCCCTTCCTTGTGTCCCCTCCCCCCTTGTGTCCCCCCCAACCTCCTCTTGTCCCCTCCCCCCCACCTCCTCGTGTCCCCTCCCCCCCTTGTGTCCCCACCAACCTCCTTGTGTCCCCACCCCCCACGTGTCCCCTCCCCCCTTGTATCCCCTCCCCCCAACCTCCTTCTGCCCCTCCCCCCCTTGTATCCCCTCCCCCCCAACCTCCTCGTGTCCCCTCCCCCTCACCTCCTTGTGTTCCCTCCCCCAACCTCCTTGTCCCCCCCCACTTCGTGTCCCCTCCCCCCTCCCCCCTCCCCCCCCCACTTCGTGTCCCCTCCCCCCTCCTTGTGTCCCCTCCCCCCTCCTTGTGTCCCCATCCCCCTTGTGTCCCCCCCAACCTCCTCTTGTCCCCTCCCCCCCACCTCTTTGTGTCCCCACCCCCCACGTGTCCCCACCCCCCACGTGTCCCCCCCCAGTTGTATCCCCTCCCCCCTCACCTCCTCGTGTCCCCTCCCCCTCAACCTCCTTGTCCCACCCCACTTCATGTCCCCTCCCCCCTCCTTGTGTCCCCTCCCCCCCCACTTCGTGTCCCCTCCCCCCTCCTTGTGTCCCCATCCCCCTTGTGTCCCCCCCAACCTCCTCTTGTCCCCTCCCCCCCGTGTCCCCTCCCCCCTTGTCCCCCCACCAACCTCCTTGTGTCCCCACCCCCCTTGTGTCCCCTCCCCCTCAACCTCCTTGTCCCACCCCACTTCATGTCCCCTTGTGTCCCCTCCCCCCCCCCTTGTGTCCCCTCCCCCCCCTTTGTCCCCATCCCCTTGTGTCCCCCAACCTCCTGTCTGCCCCTCCCCCCCCCAGTTGTATCCCCTCCCCCCTCACCTCCTCGTGTCCCCTCCCCCCCAGCGTTGGCTCCCGCCGTTACTTCGAGTGCCCCCCCAAATACGGGGCCTTCGTGCGCCCCCAAAGCGTCACCGCCGGCGACTTCCCGGAGGAGGGCCCCGACCTCGAGGACGAGCTCTGAGGAGGGGGGGGGCAGGGCCCCCCTCCCCCCACCCCCCCAAAATCCGCGCCCCCGACACCCCAAAAACGCCGTTTCCCGCCACCCCCCCACCACCTTTTTGGCGGGATTTCCCCCCCGCTGGCCACGCCCCCTCGGCTCTGAAGGGGCGTGGCCGCGTGGGGGCGCCCTCTGTCTGCAACTGCTCTCCATTGAGAGGGGGCGTGGCTTTGAAGGGGCGTGGCTTCCACGCTGGCCACACCCCCTGTGTGACGCGGCTCTCCACCGGGGGGGGGGGGCGTGGCTTTCTTTAGTTCACGCCCCTCATTTCTATGGAAGGGGCGTGGCCTGCTCGGCGCGCCTCTGCCTGGGGGCGTGGCTTCCACGCTGGCCACGCCCCTCACGTGCATCTGGAGCGGCTCTCCAAGGGGATATGGGGGCGTGGCTTCATTTTGACACACACCCCCCCCGTAGGGGCGTGTCTTGTATGACGCTCCTCTACATGGGGGCGTGGCTTCCCTCTGGCCACGCCCCCCCCCCCGCGTGTAACCACCGCTGCTCTCCATAATGGGCCGTGGCTTCCTTTAGACCACGCCCCCTCGACTGTGTAAGGGGCGTGGCCTGCCGGACTCCCTTCTGCCTACGGGGGCGTGGCTTCCCCTGCGGCAGCCAATCGGTGAGCGCGCTGAGGAAAAGGAGGCGGGGCCAAGCAGGGTGAGTGGTCCCAGCCCCCCCCCCCGGCAGGTACCGGGCCCATAAAGTGGCGTTTTAAGGTGAAAACCCGTTTCTTGGTCATTTTTGCGTAGCCAATAGGGACGCTCCTTCCGCTTCCGCCAATCACAGTTCGCAACGGGCGGGACGGCGGCGGCGGCTGACCAATAGGCGCGGCGAAGGTCAGCGGCGGCGGCCAATGAGCGCTCGGCGGTGTCTCCTCCGGCCGGAGCGATGCCGGATGCGGTGCTGGCTATGGGGGGATGGACCCCCCATATCCCATCGCCCCCCATATCCCGAGACCCCCATATCCCTTCACCCCCCTTATCCCATCGCCCCCATATCCCATCACCCCCATATCCCATCATTTCCATATCCCATCACCCCCCATATCTCTTCACCCCCATATCCCATTACCCCCCATATCCCATCGCCCCCCATATCCCGTGACCCCCATATCCCATCACCCCCCATATCCCATCGCCCCCATATCCCATCACCCCCCATATCCCATCACCCCCCCATACCTTCACCCCATATCCCATGACCCCTTATCCCATCACCCCCATATCCCATCATTCCCATATCCCATCACCCCCCATTATCTCTTCACCCCCATATCCCATCGCCTCCATATCCCATGACCCCCATATCCCATCACCCCCCATATCCCATCACCCCCCAAATCCCATCACCGCCCATATCCCATCATTCCCATATTCCATTACCCCCCATATCCCATCACCCCCCGTATCTCTTCACCCCCATATCCCATTACCCCCCATATCTCATCACCCCCCATATCTCTATATCCCCTATATCCCATCATCACCATCACCCCCCATATCCCATAATCCCTATATCCCATCATCACCCCCCCATATCCCTATATCCCATAATCCCTATATCCCATCATCACCCCCATCGTACCACCCACCCCCCCGACCCCACTGAGCACCCATTTGGCCCCATTCCTCCTCCCCTCCCTCATTCCCAGCCTCCTTTTGGGGCCATTCCTGTGTCTTTTGGGGTTCTCCATCCCTGGTTTACCCCAACACCCTCATTTTGGGGTTAAAAAGAGGGATTTTGGTCCCACTTGGAATGGGGTGGAGGGGAGGAGAGGGTAATAAAGGCGGTGGGAGAGCCCCAGCTTGCCCCATTCATTCCTGTGGGATAAGGGGGGATTCCCATTGCCACCGAAGCCCCATAACCAATGAACCCCATATGCTCCCCATGGCTTCATCCCTTGCCAATATCCATAGGGAACGGGGGCCCATCCGGATCCCCCCCCCCCCCCCCCCCCGTTTTGGGCCAGGCACCGAATTCCTCAGCTCGGGAAAAGCAGGAAAAAAAGGCAACTTCCATCACCAAGAACTACAGGGGGGACGTGTTAGGCCCGAAGATATCGCGACAGGCCCCAGAGATATCGCGACAGGCCCCAGAGATATCGCGACAGGCTCCAGAGATATCGCGACAGGCCCCAGATATCGCGACAGGCTCCAGATATCGCGACAGAGATATCGCGACAGGTCCCAGATATCGCGACAGGCTCCAGAGATATCGCGACAGGCCCCAGATATCGCGACAGGCTCCAGAGATATCGCGACAGGCTCCAGAGATATCGCGACAGGCTCCAGATATCGCGACAGGCCCCAGATATCGCGACAGGTCCCGTGATCGCTCGCGCAACAGCTCCCTCCCAGGCCCTCAGCGGCTCCTTCGCCAGCACAAAACGCCCCCAAAAGGCCCCCAAATTGGGCTTATTTTGGGGTGAAATCGCTTAAAAATGGAATTATTTTTGGGGGGGGGGATTGGATTTTAAGAGGTTTTTGAGGGGGGAAAAAATGGGGATTTTTTTGAGGTGGGAAAATCCCCCCCCCAAAATCTGCAGTTTTGAGCCCGAATCATCAGGAGGAAGCAGCAGGAAAAGGGCAAAATGGTTCAAAAGTGGCTTTTGGCCCCAGTTTGGCCTCCAATTGGACTGGTTTTGACCCCCCAAACCCCCCTCCCAAAAACACCTCCTTTTCACAGCAGAATCCCCTCTTTGGGGTCCAAAATCGCCCGTTTTGGGCCCATTTTGGGCCTTTCTGGGAGGATTTGGGGGATGGGGAGAGCCCTTTGTGGAGGGGGGTTGGGGGGTGATGTGGGGTGGGGGTTTGGGGGTGTTTTCATCCCTGGGGGGGGGGGGTCTTAAAGTGCGAAGAGACCCAGGTGGGGCGCTGGGAGCCTTCCCCGTGCTCTCCCAGTGGTACCATGAAAATCCAGTTGCTGGGAATGCTGGGAAGGATCCAGGAATCCAAGGTTCCAACCCCCCCCCCTCCGTCCTCACAGCCCCCCATTAATCCCTATGGGACCCACAGGACAAATTCCCCCCCCCCCCCTTCCCATCTCATGTGTCCTCTTCACATCCCAATCCCGATTTTCCTGCCCCATTGGGTCCAAATCCCAACCGAGCGCCGGCTTTTCCCAAGGGAATCCCCCCCCAAATGGGATGGGGGCAGCGGGAGCACCCCCTCCCTCCCCTCTGTAAGTGCTTCATGGCGGGAGCAGGGAATGGGGTCCTGGGAAGTGCTGGGATCCAGGGGATGATTCCTGGGATGCATCAGCTGAGCCTTGGGTTGTTCCGGGAATGCCTTGGGCCGTGGCGGATGGGCCTCAGATCCCAATGGATGAGGTTCAGATTCCAATGGATGAGGTTCAGATCCCAATGGATGAGGTTCAGATCCCAATGGATGAGGTTCAGGTCTCAATGGATGGGCCTCAGATCCCAGTGGATGAGCTTCAGGTCTCAATGGATGAGCCTTAGATCCCAATGGATGAGCGTCAGATCCCAATGGATGAGGTTCAGATCCCAATGGATGAGCATCAGATCCCAATGGATGAGCTTCAGGTCTCAATGGATGAGCCTTAGATCCCAATGGATGAGGTTCAGATCCCAATAGATGAGGTTCAGATCCCAATGGATGAGGTCAGATCCCAATGGATGAGCTTCAGATCCCAATGGATGAGCCTTAGATCCCAATGGATGAGCTTCAGGTCTCAATGGATGAGCCTTAGATCCCAATGGATGAGGTTCAGATCCCAATGGATGAGGTTCAGATGGCAATGGATGAGCCTTAGATCCCAACGGATGAGCCTTAGATCCCAATGGATGAGCCTCAGATGGCAACAGATGAGCCTTAGATCCCAACAGATGAGCTTCAGATCCCAACGGATGAGCTTCAGATCCCAACAGATGAGCTTCAGATCCCAACAGATGAGCCTTAGATCCCAATGGATGAGGTTAGATCCCAACGGATGAGCCTTAGATCCCAACGGATGAGCTTCAGGTCTCAATGGATGAGCCTTAGATCCCAATGGATGAGCTTCAGATCCCAATGGATGAGCCTTAGATCCCAACGGATGAGCTTCAGATCCCAACGGATGAGCCTTAGATCCCAACGGATGAGCCTCAGATGTCAACGGATGAGCGTTAGATCCCAACGGATGAGCCTCACATCCCATTGGATGAGCCTTAGATCCCAATCCCAACGGATGAGCCTTAGATCCCATTGGATGAGCCTTAGATCCCAACGGATGAGCCTTAGATCCCAACGGATGAGCCTTAGATCCCAACAGACGAGCCTCACATCCCATTGGATGAGCCTTAGATCCCAACGGATGAGCCTTAGATCCCAACGGATGAGCCTCACATCCCAACGGATCCCTATGGGATGAGCTCCCGCCGGCGCCGGCCGGGATGCGAAGGGCTTCGGTGTCACCGCGACCGAGGGTCCCCACGTCCTTGGCCTCGATCCCGGACGGAGAAGTCAGGAACCTCCCCTGCTCGCCCGGGTTCAAGTCTATGGGGCAGCAAGGAAAGGCCAAGCCCGGAGCCAGCGCCTGCCTCCCCCCCACAACAATGCCCCATGGGACCGGGTGCGATGCTGGAGGTTGTGGGGAGCAGAGTGGGGCGAGTGGATGATGATGGTGATGGTGGTGGTGGTGGGGGGGGTGTGGGGTGAGAGAGAGAGAGAGAGGGGCAGGAGGAAGGCTCCCGGTGCTCACGGTGCCGACGGCTCCGCGTGGGGCTGGCTCGGGAGCAGCGCTTGCACCGGCGACGACGACGACGACGACGGCGGCGGCGGCGACGGCGGCGTCCGCGGAGGCGACGCCGGAGCCGCGCCGGGGACCAGCGGGGAAGCTCCGATGGGAAGAGACGAAGGAGAGGTGGGAACGGCACCGGGAAGCTCCGGGATGGAGCGGGATGAGGATGAAGAGGAAGAGGAGAAGAAGAAGGGGCTCTGCTGGATGAAGAGGTCGATGATTGTCTGGTAGGTGCGCGTGGCCGTGAGCGCGTCCATGGTGCTGAAGTCCGGGCGCATGAGCGTTGGCCAGAAGCAGATGGAGAGGTTCTCGCTCGTCATCAGGTTCACGCGGTGCTGCTGGCTCACCCTGGGCAAGGACAACGGGAGCGGCCCCATAGGAGAATGGTAAGGGGATGGGGGGGCGGGGGGCTCGGGGTGGCGGGGGGAGGTCCCAATGGGATCTGCTCGGGGGGGGAAATCAATGGGATCTGCTCATGGGGGCATCAATGGGAGCATGTTGGGGTGCTCGGGGTGGCATCAATGGGAGCCTGTTGGGGTGCTCATGGGGACGTCCCAATGGGATCTACTCATGGGGACATCAATGGGAGCCTCTTGGGGTGCTCAAGGGGGCATCAATGGGAGCCTCTTGGGGTGCTCAGGGGGCATCAATGGGAGCCTCTTGGGGTGCTCGGGGGGGGCATCCCAATGGGAGCCTGTTGGGGTGCTCAGGTGGGCGTCCCAATGGGATCTGCTCATGGGGACATCAATGGGAGCCTCTTGGGGTGCTCGGGGGGGCATCCCAATGGGAGCCTGTTGGGGTGCTCAGGGGGGAGTCCCAATGGGATTCGCTCATGGGGACACCCAATGGGATCCACTCATGGGGACATCAGTGGGAGCCTGTTGGGGTGCTCGGGGGGGCATCCCAATGGGAGCCTGTTGGGGTGCTCATGGGGACGTCCCAATGGGTGCCTGTTGGGGTGTTCAAGGGGGCATCAATGGGAGCCTCTTGGGGTGCTCATGGGGACGTCCCAATGGGATCTACTCATGGGGACATCAATGGGAGCCTCTTGGGGTGCTCGGGGGGGGCATCAATGGGAGCCTGTTGGGGTGCTCATGGGGACATCAATGGGATCCTGTTGGGGTGCTCATGGGGACATCAATGGGATCCTGTTGGGGTGCTCATGGGGACATCAATGGGAGCCTCTTGGGGTGCTCATGGGGACATCAATGGGATCCTGTTGGGGTGCTCATGGGGGCATCAATGGGATCCTGTTGGGGTGCTCATGGGGATGTCCCAATGGGTGCCTGTTGGGGTGTTCAAGGGGGCATCAATGGGAGCCTGTTGGGGTGCTCATGCGGATGTCCCAATGGGATCCTGTTGGGGTGCTCAAGGGGGCATCAATGGGATCCTGTTGGGGTGCTCATGGGGGCATCAACGGGAGCCTGTTGGGGTGCTCATGGGGACACCCAATGGGATACTGTTGGGGTGCTCAAGGGGACATCAATGGGATCCTGTTGGGGTGCTCATGGGGACATCAATGGGATCCTGTTGGGGTGCTCATGGGGACATCAATGGGATCCTGTTGGCGTGCTCATGGGGATGTCCCAATGGGTGCCTGTTGGGGTGCTCATGGGGGCATCAATGGGAGCCTGTTGGGGTGCTCATGGGGACATCAATGGGTGCCTGTTGGGGTGCTCATGGGGGACATCAGTGGGAGCCTGTTGGGGTGCTCATGGGGGACATCAATGGGATCCTGTTGGGGTGCTCAGGTGGGCGTCCCAATGGGATCCACTCATGGGGACATCAATGGGAGCCTGTTGGGGTGCTCATGGGGACGTCCCAATGGGATCCTGTTGGGGTGCTCATAGGGACGTCCCAATGGGATCTTGTGGGGTGCTCATGGGGACATCAATGGAATCCTGTTGGGGTGCTCATGGGGGCATCAATGGGATCCTGTTGGGGTTTTCAAGGGGGCATCAATGGGATCCTGTTGGGGTGCTCATGGGGACATCAATGGGATCCTGTTGGGGTGCTCAAGGGGGGCATCAATGGGAGCCTCTTGGGGTGCTCAAGGGGGGCATCAATGGGAGCCTGTTGGGGTGCTCATAGGGACGTCCCAATGGGTGCCTGTTGGGGTGTTCAAGGGGGCATCAATGGGAGCCTGTTGGGGTGCTCATGCGGATGTCCCAATGGGATCCTGTTGGGGTGTTCAAGGGGGCATCAATGGGATCCTGTTGGGGTGCTCATGGGGACATCAATGGGAGCCAGTTGGGGTGCTCAAGGGGGCATCAATGGGAGCCTGTTGGGGTTTTCAAGGGGGCATCAATGGGAGCCTGTTGGGGTGCTCATGGGGACGTCCCAATGGGAGCCAGTTGGGGTGCTCAAGGGGGCATCAATGGGAGCCTGTTGGGATGCTCACGGTGACATCCCACCTGGATCATTTCGGGAAGCTCATAGGGACATCCCACCTGGATCCTTTTGGGATGCTCACAGTGACATCCCACCTGGATCCTTTCAGGATGCTCACGGCGACATCCCACCTGGATCCTTTTGGGATGCTCACGGGGACATCCCACCTGGATCATTTCGGGAAGCTCATAGGGACATCCCACCTGGATCCTTTTGGGATGCTCACAGTGACATCCCACCTGGATCCTTTCAGGATGCTCACGGCGACATCCCGCCTGGATCCTTTTGGGATGCTCACGGTGACATCCCACCTGGATCCTTTTGGGATGCTCACGGGGACATCCCACCTGGATCCTTTTGGGATGCTCGTGGTGACATCCCACCTGGATCCTTTTGGGATGCTCACGGCGACATCCCACCTGGATCCTTTTGGGATGCTCACGGTGACATCCCGCCTGGATCCTTTTGGGATGCTCACGGGGACATCCCACCTGGATCCTTTTGGGATGCTCACGGTGACATCCCGCCTGGATCCTTTTGGGATGCTCACGGGGACATCCCGCCTGGATCCTTTTGGGATGCTCACGGGGACATCCCACCTGGATCCTTTTGGGATGCTCACGGTGACATCCCGCCTGGATCCTTTTGGGATGCTCACGGTGACATCCCGCCTGGATCCTTTTGGGATGCTCACGGTGACATCCCGCCTGGATCCTTTTGGGATGCTCACAGGGACATCCCACCTGGATCCTTTTGGGATGCTCATGGCGACATCCCGCTTGGATCCTTTTGGGATGCTCATGGTGACATCCCGCCTGGATCCTTTTGGGATGCTCACGGTGACATCCCACCTGGATCCATTTGGGATGCTCATGGTGACATCCCACCTGGATCCTTTTGGGATGCTCATGGAGACATCCCACCTGGATCCTTTTGGGATGCTCACGGTGACATCCCCCTTGGATCCTGCATCACCTCCACACCGCCCCATCCCCAATCCTGCTTTTTTGGGATTACCCCAACGTTCTCCCTGCATCCCATCCCCCCCGATACCTACTTGTTCAAGTGGCCAATGACGTATTTGAAGACCTCATAGTTTTCCTTGGGGAATTTCCTCAGCACCTCCTTCAACGCGTGGAGCTTCTGCTCCCGGTCGTTGATCTCTGCCAAGAGGGAACGGGAAGGGCATCAGGAAGGGCAGCAGCATCCCATGGGATTCCTCCTCTTCCAAAGGGATTAGGGGGGCCACCAGCATGAGCAGAACCTGGGTTCTTCCCAAGGGAAGGGGGAAAAAAGCAGCCCCCATCCCCATTGCTTCCAAAGGGGTGGGATCCAGGAGATGGGAATGGGGGCAGACGGGATGGGAACGGCGTTGGGAAGAGCATGGACTCACTGTGGGCTTCCACCAGCTCCACCTGCATGGAATAAGGGACCAAAGGCTCGGGTAGCTCGGAGAAGAAGCTCTTCATGGCTCCAGCCACGGTGTTGACGGTGAAATCCTTCTCAGCCAGGTCCAGGCCGTGGTCTGGAAGGGGGAGAGGCTCCCGGTTACATCCCAGCGGCTGGAATTGCCATTCCCAAAGAGCCAGGAGGGGCAGGAAGGTGGGAATGTGGGGCTGGAATGTGGGGGGGGTGTGGGATGGGCATGGCCCCGAGGGGCTGAGCTCTGGTGGCTGCAAGGAAAGGAAGGAAGAGGGAGGAGAGGAATGGGGATGGTCTGGGAATGGGGGAGATCCATGGATGGGGAATCCCGGGATACAAAGGGGTTGGGATGGGGAATCCTGGGACACAAAGGGGTTGGGATGGGGAATCCTTGGACACAAAGGGGTTGGGATGGGGAATCCTTGGACACAAAGGGGTTGGGATGGGGAATCCCGGGACTCAAAGGGGTTGGGATGGGGAATCCCAGGACACAAAGGGGTTGGGATGGGGAATCCTTGGACACAAAGGGGTTGGGATGGGGAATCCCGGGATACAAAGGGGTTGGAATGGGGAATCCCGGGACATGAAGGGGTTGGGATGGGGAATCCTGGGATACAAAGGGGTTGGGATGGGGAATCCTGGGACACAAAGGGGTTGGGATGGGGAATCCCGGGACACAAAGGGGTTGGGATGGGGAATCCCGGGACACAAAGGGGTTGGGATGGGGAATCCCGGGATACAAAGGGGTTGGGATGGGGAATCCTTGGACACAAAGGGGTTGGGATGGGGAATCCTGGGATACAAAGGGGTTGGGATGGGGAATCCCGGGATACAAAGGGGTTGGGATGGGGAATCCCAGGACACAAAGGGGTTGGGATGGGGAATCCTGGGATACAAAGGGGTTGGGATGGGGAATCCTGGGACACAAAGGGGTTGGGATGGGGAATCCAGGGATACAAAGGGGTTGGGATGGGGAATCCTGGGACACAAAGGGTTGGGATGGGGAATCCCAGGACACGAAGGGGTTGGGATGAGGAATCCCAGGCCCCAAAGGGATCGGCACAGGGAATCCCAGGAGCTCACCCTGGTCGAACTGCCTCTGCAGACTCTCCATCTCCGACTTGTTCCCGCTCACCCGATAGATCCCTTCGGTGCTGAGCCCTGGGGAGTGAGGAGCAGGGTCAGGATCCCGGGATACCCCCCCGGGAAGAGCTGGGATGCGGAATTCCCCCCCCTCCCGCCGGGACGCGGCGCTCACCCGTGGCCTCGATGTACTCGATGCAGCGCTCGATGAAGACCGGGATGGGCTTCTCGGCTGTCACCACCCCGCTCAGGGGCACCCCGAAGTAGCTGCTCTCCCACGTGCTCTTGGTGATGGACGGCCGCGGCTTGGGCTTGGGTTTCTGTGCGACAGCGGGAAGGGAGGGCTGAGGCCGTATCCCGACGGATAACGTTTTATCCCGATGGAATACACCTTATCACGATGGATAACGCCTTATCCCGATGGATAACGCTTTATCGGGATGGAATACACCTTATCCCGATGGATAATGCTTTATCCCAATGGATAACGCTTTATCCCGATGGAATACGCCTTATCCTGATGGAATACGCCGTATCCCGATGGATAACGCTTTATCCGGATGGAATACGCCTTATCCTGATGGAATACGCCTTATCCTGATGGAATACGCCGTATCCCGACGGATAACGCTTTATCCCGAGGGAATACGCCTTATCCCGATGGATAACACTTTATCCCGAGGGAATACGCCTTATCCTGATGGATAATGCCTTATCCCGATGGATAACGCTTTATCCCGATGGAATATGCCTTATCCTGATGGGTAATGCCTTATCCAGATGGATAATGCTTTATCCTGACAGATTACGCCTTATCCCGATGGATAACGCTTTATCCCGATGGATAACGCTTTATCCCGAGGGAATACGCCTTATCCTGATGGATAATGCTTTATCCCGATGGAATACGCCTTATCCCGATGGATAATGCTTAATCCCGATGGATAACGCTTTATCCGGATGGAATACGCCTTATCCCGATGGATAATGCTTTATCTGGATGGAATACACCCTATCCCGATGGATAATGCTTTATCCCAATGGATAATGCTTTATCCCGATGGAAGACGCCTTATCCTGATGGAATATGCCTTATCCGGATGGAATACACCCTATCCCAATGGATAATGCTTTATCCCAATGGATAATGCTTTATCCCGATGGAATACGCCTTATCCCGATGGATAATGCTTTATCCCGATGGAATACACCCTATCCCAATGGATAATGCTTTATCCCAATGGATAATGCTTTATCCCGATGGAATACGCCTTATCCCGATGGATAATGCTTTATCCGGAATAAACACACCCTATCCCGATGGATAATGCCTTATCCCAATGGATAATGCTTTATCCCGATGGATAATGCTTTATCCCGACAGATTACGCCTTATCCCGACGGAATACGCCTTATCCCAACGCATTACGCCTTATCCCGATGGATTACATCTTATTCTGATGCATTACGCCTTATCCCGACGGATTATGCCTTATCCCGACGGATTACGCCTTATCCCGACAGATTACGCATTATCCCAATGGATTATAGTTTATCCCAATGGATTATAGTTTATCCCAATGGATTATGGTTTATCCCAATGGATTATGGTTTATCCCAATGGTTCCCTGCCTATCCCAATGGTTTACGGCTTATCCCAATGGTTTATTGCTTGTCTCAATGGTCAATAGCTCATCCCAATGGTTTATGACTTATCCCAATGGTTTATGACTTATCCCAATGGTTTATGACTTATCCCAATGGATTATGATTTATCCCAATGGTTTCTTGCTCATCCCAATGGTTTCTGGCTCATCCCAATGGTTTCTTGCTCATCCCAATGGTTTATGGCTTATCCCAATGCTTTCCCGTTGATCCCAGTGGTTTCCTGTTTACCCCACTGGCTTACGGGTTACCCCACTGGTTTCCCGTTGATCCCACTGGTTTCCCGTTTACCCCACTGGTTTCCTGTTGATCCCAATGCTTTCCCGTTGATCCCACTGGTTTCCCGTTTACCCCACTGGTTTCCCGTTGATCCCAACCGTGTATGGCTTATTCCAGTGGATCAGCCCTTGGCAGGACCCAAACCCTCCCGCGACCCCATGGATGGAGCTTGGAGGCCCTGGGACAGGAGAACCCGTCCCTTCCTAGGGAGCCTTGAAGGTCTCTCCCATTCCTTGCCCTGGAGCTCTCCTGGCCCTCAGGATCCCACCACTTCAGCCCCACAGATTCCCCCCCCCCCTCCAAGCTCCATCCCATTGTCCATGGGGACCCCGGCACTGCTCCCCCCCCCCCCCCCAAGCCAAGAACCCTGGGAGATGCCCCCTAAGAACAAGAGGCCTTCATGGTGCTCCTCAAACCGTGTCCACACCATATGCACACCAAATCCTTCATGGTGCTCCTCACACCCCATCCTTCATGGTGCTCCTCACACAACATCCACACCACATCCTTCATGGTGTGCTCCTCACACCATGTCCTTCATGGTGCTCCTCACACAACGTCCTCCATGGTGTTCCTCACACCATGTCCACCCCATGTCCTTCATGGTGCTCCTCACACCATGTCCACACCAAATCCTTCATGGTGCTCCTCACACCCCATCCTTCATGGTGCTCCTCACACCCTGTCCACACCACGTCCTTCATGGTGCTCTTCACACCATGTCCACACCACATCCTTCATGGTGCTCCTCACACCATGTCCACACCAAGTCCTTCATGGTGCTCCTCACACCCTGTCCACACCGTGTCCACACCATGTCCTTCATGGTGCTCCTCACACTACGTCCTTCATGGTGCTCCTCACACCATGTCCACACCATGTCCTTCATGGTGCTCCTCACACCGCATCCTTCATGGTGTTCCTCACACCCTGTCCACACCAAGTCCTTCATGGTGCTCCTCACACCATGTCCACACCACGTCCTTCATGGTGCTCCTCAAACCATGCCCACACCGTGTCCACACCAAGTCCTTCATGGTGCTCCTCACACCACGTCCTTCATGGTGCTCCTCAAACCATGTCCTTCATGGTGCTCCTCACACCATGTCCACCCCATGTCCACACCATATCCTTCATGGTGCTCCTCAAACCATGTCCACCCCATGTCCACACCACGTCCTTCATGGTGCTCCTCACACCATGTCCACACCAAGTCCTTCATGGTGCTCCTCACACCATGTCCACACCATGTCCACACCACGTCCTTCATGGTGCTCCTCACACCATGTCCACACCACGTCCTTCATGGTGCTCCTCACACCATGTCCACACCACGTCCTTCATGGTGCTCCTCACACAACGTCCTCCATGGTGCTCCTCACACCATGTCCACACCATGTCCTTCATGGTGCTCCTCACACCGCATCCTTCATGGTGTTCCTCACACCCTGTCCACACCAAGTCCTTCATGGTGCTCCTCACACCATGTCCACACCAAATCCTTCATGGTGCTCCTCACACTATGTCCACCCCACGTCCTTCATGGTGCTCCTCACACCATGTCCACACCACGTCCTTCATGGTGCTCCTCACACCACGTCCACACCATGTCCTTCATGGTGCTCCTCACACCATGTCCACACCCCATCCTTCATGGTGCTCCTCACACCATGTCCACACCAAGTCCTTCATGGTGCTCCTCACACCACGTCCTTCATGGTGCTCCTCACACCATGTCCACACCAAGTCCTTCATGGTGCTCCTCACACCATGTCCACACCACATCCTTCATGGTGCTCCTCACACCATGTCCACACCACGTCCTTCATGGTGCTCCTCACACCACATCCTTCATGGTGCTCCTCACACCATGTCCACCCCATGTCCTTCATGGTGCTCCTCACACCATGTCCACACCCTGTCCACACCATGTCCTCCATGGTGTTCCTCACACCATGTCCACACCCCATCCTTCATGGTGCTCCTCACACCACGTCCTTCATGGTGCTCCTCACACCATGTCCACACCACGTCCTTCATGGTGCTCCTCACACCATGTCCTTCATGGTGCTCCTCACACCATGTCCACACCACGTCCTTCATGGTGCTCCTCACACCCTGTCCACACCACGTCCTTCATGGTGCTCCTCAAACCATGTCCACACCACATCCTTCATGGTGCTCCTCACACCATGTCCACACCACGTCTTTCATGGTGCTCCTCACACCCCATCCATGGTGCTCCTCACACCATGTCCACACCATGTCCTTCATGGTGCTCCTCACACCACGTCCACACCAAGTCCTTCATGGTGCTCCTCAAACAACGTCCTTCATGATGCTCCTCACACCATGTCCACACCACATCCTTCATGGTGCTCCTCACACCCTGTCCACACCACGTCCTTCATGGTGCTCCTCACACCATGTCCACACCATGTCCTTCATGGTGCTCCTCACACCGCATCCTTCATGGTGCTCCTCACCCCATGTCCACACCATGTCCTTCATGGTGCTCCTCACACCACGTCCTTCATGGTGCTCCTCACAGCATGCCCACACCAAGTCCTTCATGGTGCTCCTCACACCATGTCCACACCAAGTCCTTCATGGTGTTCCTCACACCACGTCCTTCATGGTGCTCCTCACACCATGTCCACACCACATCCTTCATGGTGCTCCTCACACCCTGTCCACACCACGTCCTTCATGGTGCTCCTCACACCATGTCCACACCATGTCCTTCATGGTGCTCCTCACACCGCATCCTTCATGGTGCTCCTCACCCCATGTCCACACCATGTCCTTCATGGTGCTCCTCACACCACGTCCTTCATGGTGCTCCTCACACCATGCCCACACCAAGTCCTTCATGGTGCTCCTCACACCATGTCCACACCAAGTCCTTCATGGTGTTCCTCACACCACGTCCTTCATGGTGCTCCTCACACCATGTCCACACCACGTCCTTCATGGTGCTCCTCACACCACGTCCTTCATGGTGCTCCTCACACCATGTCCACACCAAGTCCTTCATGGTGCTCCTCACACCATGTCCACACCACGTCCTTCATGGTGCTCCTCACACCATGTCCACACCAAGTCCTTCATGGTGCTCCTCACACCATGTCCACACCACATCCTTCATGGTGCTCCTCACACCATGTCCACAACAAGTCCTTCATGATGCTCCTCACACCAAGTCCTTCATGGTGCTCCTCACACCCTGTCCACACCAAGTCCTTCATGGTGCTCCTCACACCCTCTCCACACCAAGTCCTTCATGGTGCTCCTCACACCACGTCCTTCATGGTGCTCCTCACACCATGTCCACACCACGTCCTTCGTGGTGCTCCTCACACTATGTCCACACCACGTCCTTCATGGTGCTCCTCACACCATGTCCACACCACGTCCTTCATGGTGCTCCTCACACCACGTCCTTCATGGTGCTCCTCACACCACGTCCTTCATGGTGCTCCTCACACCCTGTCCACACCACGTCCTTCATGGTGTTCTCTTCACACCACGTCCCTCACCATGTGCTCCTCACACCACATCCTCCACGGTGTTCCTCACCAACCCTTGCCCCACCCACGTCCACCAATAACCCATGTTCCGTGGGGTTGCCCAACCACAACCTCACCCCCCCCCCCCCCGACCCCAAGCCCATGGCTCCACCCTGCCCCCATCCAACCCTCCCACCCCGACCTCTCGCCTTCCAACCCCACAGCGCCCTACCTTCGTCGTCCTCCTCAAGCTCCTCAAGATGTTCCTCCTCCTTGGGTCCTCTCCGTCGGCCGTCTCATAGGGAATAACGGCGTTATCCCCCTTGTAGCCTTGGGAAGTCTGATCCTCCTCCTTCTTCCTGATGGGGCCCAGCTCGTCATCGCTGCCCACGCTGAAGCTGGTCCTGTAGCTCGCAAACCTACCCAACCTGGAGCAGCGGGTCCTGTAGAGCACCGGTTTGGCCACCACGGACACCTTGCGGCCCCTCTCCAAGGAGCTCGTGTCCATCTCGCTGTCGGAGCCGTTGCCGCTGCCGTTGGACTGGGCCTTGTTGATGTTCCGGATGGTGATGATCTTGCCCTGGGTGCTGTCGTGAGGCACCGAGTAGATGTTCTCCTCTTCGTTGCGTGGTTTCACCACGGCGTCCATGGGCTCGGCGTAGTCGGAAGGGTCGAAGCAATCCGTGGGGAGCCAGCTTCCGGATGTCATGGATTTCCTCTGCCCGTCCCGGTGGCCTTGCTCCAAGTAGGACAGGTCCCCCTTGGTAAGGTCAAAATGCACTGGGGGCTTTGGTTTCACCGGAGGAGGGACCTTGTTGTTGAGCTTGCTCTCGAAGGTGCTCATGACCGAGATGAAAGACAAGCCGTCGTTCCCCTCCAGCTCCATGGAGAGCTTCGAGTGGTCTTTGGCCAAGGTGGGCATGGACAAGTCCTCTCTGAAGGGGCTGTAAGTGGGAGGCTCCACGTCCTCCTCCGAGTCCTGCAGGTTGGAATTGCAAAGAGGGGAATCGGCTCGCGGCGAGTTGAAGACCTCCTCGGTGGTGCTGCAAGCTTCGGCCACGTTGTCGTACATGTGGGTGGCCTCGATGATGGTCTTCTTCTCCAGCACGTCCTTAAAGAAGGAGTGGAAGATCTCCAGCTTGTGCTGGGGCTGGCTGCAGGGAATGGTGGTGAACTTGCCGTCGATCTCCTGGGCGATCTCCTCCCCTTCGGTGAGCTGCTCCCTGCTCAGGTCGTTGTCCAGGATGTCGATGGAGCCGTCGGTGAGCGCCACGACCTGGATGGGGATGATGTCCTGCACCTCGCACAGGAAGGCACGGAGCATGGCCAAGGACGCCTTGCGCTTGGCCGAGTAGAAGACGATGTAGCCGTGGACCAGGCGGCTCTTGCGGACGCTGAAGGAGGAGTGGTAGGAGAGGAGGGAGAGCTCCACGCGCCTCTTGTGGGGCCCGATGGAGAGCTCGAGGAGGACGGAGCTGCTGCTGCCGCACTGGGAAGGCCGATAGCTCGGGGACTGCAGGATGGGCAGGAGGATGTCGTCCGTGTGGAAGGGATCGCCACACATGAGGCACATGACGATGCGGAGGTCAACGTCCGCCAGGTCCTTGATGCTGGCGGTGGAGCTGACGAGGTTCAGGTTGCGTTTGGAGTCCAACAAACCCTTCAGGACCTGGCTGATCTGCTTCTCGTTGATGTTCCTGCCGTAGCCGATGCCGGCAGAGGCAGGGTCCAAGAAGACGCACTGGAGCTTGCTGGCGATCTGCTGGCCCTGCTGGATGAGGCTCTGCAAGGTCTCCCCGCTCGTGTCCCCCCTCTTGTTGACCAGGATGAGGGTGAGGGGCAGGTGAACCAAGTGGTTGTCCCTCCTGCCCAGCGTGGACTCGCGGCTCTTCTCGATGCTCTCCACCACGTAGGACAAGGACTCCTTGGAGTTGTAAAGGCAAAGACAGCCGTGGGGCTGGAAGGTCGGGGTCTGGAAGGAGTTGACGGGGAGCCTGACGTTGCCCTCGATGGGCCTCAGGGCCAGCTCGTACATCTTGCCCTCGATCACGTACTTGTCGTCGTTGGTGCACAGCGCCCGGATCTCGTTGGCCAGCTCTCGGGCCAGGCCGTCCTTGCCCAGGATGACCAGGTTGATCCTGTCGATGGTGGGGTCGGCGAGCAGGTTCCTCTGGTTGCGCTCCGTGGGGCGGATGAAGCGGGAGCCGATGAGCTGCTCGATCCTGGAGTCCACGCACAGAGGGCAGCTGGGACAGGTCTCCTTGGTGGGGTGGTACACGAAGTGGATGTGCTTGAGGATGAGGGCGTCGCGCTCGGCCTGCAGCTTCTGCAGGGCCTTGAAGCGCTGCTCCTCGCCCAGCACGTCCTGGATGACGCCCATCTTCTCCTTGCTGGGCTTGGCGTCGAGCTCCAGCTCGTAGAAGAGCTCCGAGTATTCCAAGAGCAGCTCCTGGAACTCCTCCTTGGCCTTCTCGATGATCTGCTTTTGGTGCTTGCTGTAGATGTCCATGTAGATGGACTCCTCCAGCCACATGTAGAAGTCCTCATTCATGATGAAGCTCCGCGCTTCCTCCCAGGGCTTGCCAGGGGTGATGAAGGGCGAAGTCTCCAGGTTCTCCTTGAAGGCTCTCCTCATCTCCGCCCTCTTCCTCTCGTTCCTCAGCTTTTCCAAGTGAGCTTCGTAGAGCTGCTTGGCCGGTTGGGTCTCCATCAGGTCGAAGGGGATGCGCTCGTTCTCCATGTTGTCGATGTGGCTCGTGGCGTCCCAGGGGGTCTCCTCCAAGACAACGAACCACTTGAGGAAGTCCGCCTTCGTCTCCAAGAGCTTCTCCACCTTGACGCAGCTCAGGTGATCCAACTCATCCAGGTCCGGGATGAGGGCCTCGAAGGCTTGAGGGAGCACGGCCAGGTACATCTTCCGCCGCCGCTCGATGTGCTCCTGCTTGAGGCGATGCACGTGCTGCAGGAAGAGCTTCTTGGCCTTCTGGGTCCCTTCCAGGTAGACGTAGTCCTGGTACTCGGGGGAGGACTGCATCTTGAAGCTCACGTTGCTCCACGTCTCGTTGTGGCTCTTCACGATGCGGCTGACCAACCACTCGTACTTGTCCTTGGCGGCGGCGATCTGTTGGCTCTGCTGCTTCAAGGCTTCGAAGTAAGGGATGATCTTGGTCTTCCCTCTGCTCTTGTCGATGAGCTGCACCAAGGTGCTGAAGGCCAAGTCAATGTTCACGTTGGACCTAGCAGAGGTCTCCACCACCTGGAGGCTCTTCTTGCTTAAGGCAAAAGTGTGCGCGTCCCGGATGTACCGCTCCACCCCTTCGTCGCACTTGCTCAGCACCACCACGATGGGCTTCTTGGTCTTGGCCAACTGATTGTAGAGGTTGGAGACGAACTTGAGCTGCTCATCGAAGTTCCTGTTCATGCCCCTGCTGACGTCCACGCAGAGGAGGAAGCCGTCGACCAGCAGCTTGCCGTCGGGCATCTGCTTCTGCTCAAAGTCCTGCTCCAAGCCCAGCTGGTCCGTGCAGAAGTACATGAGCTTCTCGGCCGAAGCCAGCTTGGTGGCAGCAGCCCTCTTGATGTAGGGCTGCAGCGCGGTGCTGCGGTGGGGCTGGAAGGTCTGGTCGTCGATGAACTCCGTCTGCTCCACCACGTGCAGCTTGCACTCGCCGCAGTCCTCCAGGGCTCTGCCCACCTCACCCCAGTAGAGGAAATGGTCATTGTTGACCACTCGGCCCCCAAAGTCGCTGGTGCTGAGCACCGAGGTGTGATCCAGATGGAAGTCGTCGGCGCTGGGCCGCACGAAGCGGTTGCAGAGGCAGGACTTGCCGACGCCGCATTGACCCTTCTCTTTCTCCGTGCCGGATAAACCCACCACGCTGACGTTGTAGGTGGGGATGCGGACATCCTGCTTCCTGGCCATCATCATCGTCCGCACATCCTGTCCCACTCAACGGCTTCGCAGAGGATTCCCCGCGGCGCCGGGGGACGACCGCTTCTCAAGGCAAGAAGGGAACGGGAAGGACGGGCTCCCACCTCCTCATCCCGCAGGGACCGGCAGGCGTGGGGCTCCGTGGGCCTCGGGGTGGGGTGCGGGGGGGGCTCGACGGCCCAGGTTCTCCCCTAGGAGGAAGGGAAAGCATCGTCACTGGGGACCATCCCCATCCTGCTCCTGACAAACCCAACCCCGAGCCAAGCCCCGGCGGCACCGACCCCGGCGTGCCGAGCGCCGCATCCCACCGCAACCCTCACCGGGGCAGCAGCAGAGGGATCCATAGGGATGTGGGGAAGGAAGGGGGGGGGGGGGTTGGCGTTCCCAATTGGAAGGAAAGGGGGGCGAAAGGAAGCATCCCTTTGGTGGTGGAAGGGGGGACACTGCAATGGGTTGAATGGGGAAGGAAGGGATGAAAGGGGGCAGAGCCGCATTCCCAACTGGAATAACGTCTTCCCGTGCCACCAGCAGGAAGCCGTTTTAGGTCTAAAGCACTCAACCCCATGGCACCACAAAGCATCATTCCCAATGGATCTCCAACCCCATTCCCAAGGCTCTGCAGGAGCTGAAAGCCACCCCCCCCCCCCCGAGCCCAAAAGCAGGAGAGGAGAAAGCAGCAGCATTCCAAGTATCCAACGGGAGGATCCTGCACCACGTCCCACGTCAATCCTTGGAGCAAAGGAGGGAATTCTGATGGAATTGCCAAGAAATCCGGGAAAAATCAGGGCTTTCGGCCACTTTTCCCCTTCCGTTGACGCCAAAGGGATTCCACAGCGGAATTCCAGGAGCAAAAGGGAAGCAGCTCCAGCAAAACCCAACTGACAGGGACACCGAAGCGACAGGGATCATGGTCCAAACCCCATCTTGGCGCAGCCTACGGAAGTCCTGAGGATCATCCCTATGGATCAGCCTCATCCCTTCCAAACGGGCCTCGAAGCGCCAGGAAGTTTCCCCAGCCTTTTCCCACTCGGCTCCGTCGAAGGAACCAAAGTCCAATGGGAAAGGGGAAGGGAAAGAAAGCGGCCTCCAATCGGCTTCACTTTCGGTTTCGCCCCAAATCCCTGAGTCAGGAGTTACTCATTTACCCCGGGACCTGCAACCCCCAGCTCGGAGGGAAGAGAATTCCCCTTCCGAAGAGGAGCCGAAGCCCAAAAAGGGTTTTCCACCGGAGCCAACGCTGATGCCGGACCCCCCAAACCGGTGCTGGGTCTCCCACAGTCCCAAGCTCACTGGGTTCCTCTTCAACCCCCCCTGCCAAGGGGCTAATGCACCAGCAGAAGCGGCGTTCCCACTTGGAATTCCATCAACGGAGAGGGTTTGGAGGATCTCTACTATGGAGAAGGTCCATGGAGACCCTGGAGCGCGTTCCAGAGGCTAAAGGGGCTCCAAGAGGGGCTTTGGGCATGGGATGAGGAGAAAGAGCAGCCAAGTGGAAGAGGGAAGCGTTGGATGGGATCTTGGGAAGTTCATCCCTATGGCTGGAGTTGGAAGGACCTTCAAGCACCAACTGGTCCAAGCCACAGCACGCAAGCGTGGAATGCTTTGGGTTGGGAGGGAGCCGGAGATCATCCACTTCCAATAGGGACGCTTTCCAAAGGGATGCTCCAACCTGGCCTTGATGGTGATGGAGCAGCCAAAGCTTCTCCGTTCAACCCATCCCAGTGGCCCACCACCCCCAATGACCACAGCCAATGTCCATGTGCAGGTCTCCATTGAGGTGCTGACCACGGCCAATGTCCATGTGCAGGTCTCCATTGAGATGTTGACCACGGCCAACGTCCATGTGCAGGTCTCCATTGAGGTGTTGGCCACGGCCAATGTCCATGTGCAGGTCTCCATTGAGATGTTGGCCACGGCCAATGTCCATGTGCAGGTCTCCATTGAAGTGTTGGCCATGGCCAATGTCCATGTGCAGGTCTCCATTGAGATGCTGACCACGGCCAACGTCCATGTGCAGGTCTCCATTGAGATGTTGGCCACGGCCAATGTCCATGTGCAGGTCTCCACTGAGATGTTGGCCATGGCCAACGTCCATGTGCAGGTCTCCATTGAGGTGCTGGCCACGGCCAATGTCCATGTGCAGGTCTCCATTGAGATGTTGGCCATGGCCAACGTCCATGTGCAGGTCTCCATTGAGGTGCTGACCACGGCCAATGTCCATGTGCAGGTCTCCGTTGAGGTGTTGGCCATGGCCAATGTCCATGTGTAGGTCTCCATTGAGGTGTTGGCCATGGCCAACGTCCATGTGCAGGTCTCCATTGAGGTGTTGGCCATGGCCAATGTCCATGTGCTGGTCTCCACTGAGGTGTTGGCCATGGCCAATGTCCATGTGCAGGTCTCCATTGAGGTGTTGGCCACGGCCAGTGTCCATGTGCAGGTCTCCATTGAAGTGTTGGCCATGGCCATGTGCTGGTCGCCACTGAGGTGTTGGCCACGGCCAATGTCCATGTGCAGGTCTCCATTGAGATGTTGGCCATGGCCAATGTCCATGTGCAGGTCTCCATTGAGGTGTTGGCCATGGCCAATGTCCACGTGCAGGTCTCCACTGAGGTGCTGACCACGGCCAACGTCCATGTGCAGGTCTCCATTGAGATGTTGGCCATGGCCAATGTCCATGTGCAGGTCTCCATTGAGATGCTGACTACGGCCAATGTCCATGTGCGTGTCCATGTCCAATGTCCATGTCCATGGCCCAACCAAAGCCCTTCCCACCACCAGGAAGCATCCAACATCCAACCCAACCAGAGCAGAACCCATCCAGGACCCTCTCCGTAGCGGGGATGGATCCATCCAACCTCCTGGAGAAGATCCCAGCGCCGGAGCAAGGTCCCTGTGAGTCACCAAGGATGGGGCCAAAGCCCTTGAGATCCCTCAGCAACGGAGCCAGGAGCAACCTGAGGCCCAACCTCAACTGCGGCCGCGACGGTGCCATCAGCGCGCCCGTTTCCATGGCAACCACCCCAAAATCCCTCTTCCCACCCCATTCCCAACGGCAATGCCAAGCAATGGCCATTCCCTGAAGGACAAAAAGAGGAATTCCCATCTCCGAGCCCCGTTCCCAACCCAAAGCGAGGCCCGGAGCTCACTGGTGGGGTGGGAAGGTGTTGGCCATAGGGATGGAGCTTCCCAAAGGGTTTTCCAATCCCATTGGCTATTCCCCATCCAGCAGCCCCACCATGGGTTGAGGATAAGGAGGGAAGGATCCCGGTCAAGCCCTATGGATGGCCTGGAGATCGTTCAGGAGAGGATGAGCTTCCCAACGGGACATTCCCAAAGCCATCATTTACCAATCCCATGGGATGGGCGAACGCCACGAGGGAAAAGCCAAGCTGGAGACACAATGGGGGGGTGGGTTGGGAAAGGAAGGGGAAGATCCAAAGGGATCAAAGAAAGAGGAAGGAAAAGGGATTTGACTCTTGATTCCCAGCCCCATGATGGAGCCTTATGGAGCTTCCCCACTTTGGGAATGGGGATGGAACGCCGCAGCCTTTGGTACTGATGGGGGGGGGGGGTTTATCCGGGTGGAAAGCGGGATGGGAAGCATGGAATGGGAGCTTCCAGGTGCTCTCACCTGCGGATCCGGCCTGGAGCACCCTGGATTCAAGCACCAATTCCCAGCGGCTCGGAGGGATCCAGCAGCTCCTGACGGGATCCGAACGGGAGCAAAGCCCCATTCACATCAGCAGCAAGGCATGAACCCCCCATTCCCGTTAACTCCCCCATTTCCATTCATCCCATCCCATTCCCATTCATCCCATCCCATCCCCATTAAAACCCCCCATTCCCATTAAACCCCCTATTCCCATTAAACCCCCTATTCCCATTAAACCCCCATTCCCATTAAACCCCCCTAATCCCATTAAACCACCTATTCCCATTCATCGCACCCCATTCCCATTCATCCCATCCCATTCCCATTAAAAACCCCCATTCCCATTAAACCCCTATTCCCATTAAACCCCCCTAATCCCATTAAACCCCCCATTCCCGTTAACCCCCCCATTCCCATTCATCCCACCCCATTCCCATTAAAACCCCCTATTCCCATTAAACCCCTATTCCCATTAAACCCCCCTAATCCCATTAAACCACCTACTCCCATTCATCCCACCCCATTCCCATTCATCCCATCCCATTCCCATTAACCCCTCCTCTTCCCACTAAACCCCCCTATTCCCATTAAACCCCAACATTCCCATTAAACACCCCTCTTCCCATTAACCCCCCATTCCCATTAAACACCCCCATTCCCATTAACCCCTCTATTCCCATTAAACCCCTATTCCCATTAACCCCCCCTGTTCCCACTAAACCCCCCTATCCCCATTAAACCCCCCCATTCCCATTAAACCCCTATCCCCATTAAACCCCAACATTCCCACTAAACCCCCCTATCCCCATTAAACCCCCCTATTCCCATTAAACCCCTACTCCCATTAAATCCCTATCCCCATTAAACCCCCTATTCCCATTAAACCCCCCTATTCCCATTAAACCCCAACATTCCCATTAAACACCCCCATTCCCATTAAACCCCTATTCCCACTAAACCCCCCTATTCCCATTAACTCCCTATTCCCATTAACCCCCCCATTCCCATTAAACCCCCATTCCCATTAACTCCCTATTCCCATTAACCCCCCCATTCCCATTAAACCACCTATCCCCATTAAACCCCAACATTCCCATTAAACCACCTATTCCCATTAAACCCCCTATTCCCATTAAACCCCAACATTCCCATTAAACCACCTATTCCCATTAAACCCCAACATTCCCATTAAACCCCAACATTCCCATTAAACCCCCTATTCCCATTAAACAACCCCTATTCCCATTAACTCCCTATCCCCATTAACCCCCCCATTCCCATTAAACCCCAACATTCCCATTAAACACCCCCATTCCCATTAAACCCCCCCTATTCCCATTAACCCCCCCATTCGCATTAAACCCCAACATTCCCATTAAACACCCCTATTCCCACTAAACCTCCTATTCCCATTAAACCCCTATCCCCATTAAACCCCAACATTCCCATTAAACACCCCTATCCCCATTAAACC